CACCTGAGGTGGCTCGGCCATGTGAGCCGTATGGATTCAACGCCGATACCGAAACAACTCTTATACGGTCAGCTGAGTATTGGGAAGCGGCATGTGGGGAAACCAAAGTTGCGTTACCAGGACATGATCAAAGTGAGCCTCTCACGTTCTAATCGTGATTGCAGGTCATGGGAATCGAAGGCGGTTGATCGGCGTGCATGGCGCGATCTAATCACGAAGGCAGTTGCCGAAGTGCGGGAGAATGACCTCATACATGCAGAGAAGAAGTGGCAAGCACCGATGGGTTGTACTCCATCGACACCGAGCGCATGGCGCTGTAGCCCAAGCGGTCGCGAGTGTCTGAGTCAGGTAGGCCTAGTTAGCCATGAGCGAGGCCACTCGGGACCACTACCGAAGTGACGATGGGTCCTGTAGAGAACGTAGGCAGAACCGGTGTAGCGTTTGTAGGTACGCTGCATTCGATTTACCAACAGCGTGCTTGCATGCTAAGTCTATTTATTTCAGGTGGTGGGTTTTCAATTTTGTCCTATGAGTTTTTTTCTCATCTAGATGTCTACCTGTACTCTCTTCTATAAACATGCACACCTCGCTTAAACCAATTGAAGTTATTTCGATAACATTTTCGTGTTTGTGGCATTTCCGTAAAACAAACCTCCTGACCTCGTGAAGTTATCTCGGAATCTTTTGTAAACTACTTATTTCATATGCTCATTAATTTAAGATTTATGTCACCGTTTCCTTATGCATTACTCGATTTATTTTCTGTTATCTTTCTCTCAAGTGATTGGCTGTTGTTTGATATCCCCGGTGTAGCCGCGCTTGATGTGCATGTTGACAAGGTACCTGCTTGTCTATTACCCATTACCTCGTTCATACTGGCTCCAGGAGACAGTTGGTCGTTGCTAGTGGGGACGGGGTGCACGGTCCTTGTGGCCGTGCTAGGCTCGAAGAGTGGTTTCACGTACCCAGTGTGGAACGGACTAAGGTTCAGCCACCGCCTTGTGTGCGATTGTTTCCCAACTACAGCGTGCTTGTGTTCGTCTGTGAAGGAGTGTGGGCCGCTTCCGTTGATGAAACGTGGCTCCCATCCACATGCCTCCCGGTCTTATTCCTTCAGATTTACACTGGATATAGGGTATGTGAATGGAGCTGTGGATGGTGCAGCGCAAGCCATCCATGGTCCCTCTGTAGGCGCAGGGGTCCTGTGGCTGGCCACAGGGACAGGCAAATCCGACATGCCGCCAACCATTCTGATGGTCGCCTAGTTGAGCTTGGCCGTGACGAGCTCAAGTTATGTCTCAGTAATCACTTATAACCAGTATTCTATGCATAGTGCATAAAATCACACAAGTTTAATGCATCCTAAGTTTCGGAAGTCGCTGCCCGTTTTGGGACTACCTGTCCTCTGCATTGCGGTAACGTGCAAGCCATTGGAAATTAGGCTGCACTACAACATCACAGTTAGTAACAGTCAGGTTGATCGTTGACGTCCTGGACTTGCAAGAGCATGTTCGAGAGTACTGGATCAACAAAAAAACAGATGAAATATGTTCTGTTCGTGATTTCCGAAGGGATGAAAAGGCTGTCCAGTGCACCTCCAGAGTGACGATTATCTGTCGGTGTCCGCTTGCGATAAATTCCACTTAAATTTGAGGTGTAGAAGCTTAAATCCCTAAATCTCTAGTCTCCGCTACCGCTACAGAGCATACAGCACAACTGCAATGTCAAAACTGAATCCAACTACAACGATCTTACAAACGACAGAATGGATCGCGAGCGTCGAAAATGCAACCCACCTTTGAAAAGGAAAGACGACCTGAGTAAGGGATCAAAACTAAAGACATCTTGGTGAATCAGAGCAAATGGTCTCTATTCCATGGTGGTTTGCTAGTAACAGTCCGTGCTGAGTTTGGCTCACCTTACAAACAAAGCGTTAGAAAATGTTGTTAGGTGATTTTGTGTACTTGACCATAGGTTCATCATAGCTTCTCGCATTCTGACCAATACACAGATCCGGTGCAGTCTCGAAAAGTGAGTTAATAAATGAAGCCGACCGTCCTATCATCTATAGGGATGGAAACCAACAAATGCACCAGCACTGACGGTGACGCTTGCCTCCTTCGGAAGAGTACTCTGATATTATGTCTGTCCAATATCCTCCGAATTGTCCCCGAGGTTCCCCTTATGTCTGGAAGTCCTACTGTCCTATGCACTCCAAGATTGGTTTGTACTATAGAATAACGACTTTCTGATGTCGATGTTTTAACACACTTGAGACATCCATTACTGCGTTGTCTCTCATGGGACTACTATTCTGTCCCCCCTCAATCTATAAATTCGGCCCTCAGAACGCAAATAGGGACAAAGCAAGTCCAGCGTAAACACGAATCCGGTAACCTGGAGCACGAATGAGTACCAAAGTTGTGGATGCCGATTTGAGGCGGATCATCGTTTTAAGCGTTCCTCTTCATGTAAACAAGATAGTCAACGAAGTGAATTCCATGCCTCAGCAAGTGAGTTGGAGTGATTAAAAGAAAGCATGTTTACATCCATTTTTATAGCTACAGACGTGTCAGCTATGTAACGTGCCACACCGAAAACCATTGAAGTTGGTTGGTATTTCACAAAGTATTCCATGGATAGTAGTTATCAATGTAGGGAATATTGCTGACCCCTTCAACTGACGCAGCTTCGGCATCGAAAGCAATACGGTTGTCTATCCGAGAATATATAGACTGGTTACTTTCGAGCCTCCCTGTAATCATAGGTGCGCGGTGCACTTCAAAGTAAACCACGACTCAAATGGGGACAGCACATGGCAAACGATTCACACACTACGGGTGCTCATTAAAAAAGAAAATGTCAGCTGTACGCCGTAACGGCGCTTCGCTGCCGCGCGACCACTACTAGTCACGCATGGGCTGAGTATACTGCGAGGACGCCCACCCCAACGCGGACTCGTACCGGTGAGCCTATGATTACAAGCCAGGCGTGCAGACCATTCGGCCACCGACCGACAATGTTTCCGTAATTGTTGTGACAAACGTTACATGCAGAGGTCTGTGGTGCATTGGTCTATGCATTTGCCGATAACCGCTAGGCCGGAGTTTAAGTTACACCAAGTTGGTGATCACCAATCCAACAGCAAAAACGTAGACAAAATGAGTTGGAGAGAAAAATGCTCAATATTTATCTGAAAAGCACGGTAAGAAGACGAAAACTGGTAGATGCATGCATTTCGTATTGTCTCCTCAGTACCATTAACAATAACCGATATACAACTATGTACTTAAATATGCGTGTGACCGAATAAGTATGAGATGCGAAATGAATGACGGAAGTCCCACACCTATGTCCACGGCAGTCTTAATCTGATAAATAATTGCTTTTGAACACACAGGGCCGGCTTGTCGAAACGGAGGAAACGGGGATTAGGGTGACGTAATATAAGTGTGAACGCTGATCCAACCTCTATCCGGTGACGCGTAGTCAGTAAGTGTTTACCTATTGAGGAAGCTGGCGATTTGCGCAAGCACGGAACTTCAGTGGGACAGGGATGCTGATCAATTTCACGTTGAACCCACCTTGGCACGTGTTCCTTTATTCGGGAAGTCAAAGACCGATTGGTTCTGCCTATGTAACTGTCTCCGCAGTTACCATACTATAAGCGTTATGTGGATGACATATTGGTCTTCTGTTCATCGGAGCAGCAGATTGTCCAATTTGTGCAGCAACTTAACTGTGCACATCCCAACTTGCGAGTCACCTGCGAAGTGGAACAGAAGAACTGTCTGCCATTCTTAGACATCCTCATCAGTCGCAGGGATGACGGGCTCATTAAAAGGTCTATATACAAGAAAGTAACCTGGTCCTGCCAATACCTACACTTCACCAGCTTCACATCAGTGCGGTACAAGCGGACCCTTGTGAAAACGTTAGTTAGTCGTGCTAGACGAATTTGCTCGGCTGATTGTCTTGCCGACGAGCTAGAGTTAATTACAACAATCGTTGCATATGGTTATCCACGTAGACTTATAGAGAAACACAGCCAACAGCCAGGCCCGAAAGACTTGGTGCATACGGCAGCCAAGAAAAAGATCTATATCGAGTTGCCTTTCAAGGGTGGCTTTACTGTATGGAAAAACACGAAACGGTTAATCTTTGCTATGTAGAGAAGTTACTGTGCTGCTCAGGTTGTGGTCATCAATAGAACCTGTAACTTGCCGGTGCCTCCAACGAAGGAAGCTCAACCGATGGGGGCCAACTCACACTGCATATACAAATTGGTATGCGACTGCGGAGACAGTTACATAGGCAGAACCAATCGGTCTTTGACTTCCCGAATAAAGGAACACGTGCCAAGGTGGGTTCAACGTGAAATTGATCAGCATCCCTGTCCCACTGAAGTTCCGTGCTTGCGCAAATCGCCAGCTTCCTCAATAGGTAAACACTTACTGACTACGCGTCATCGGATAGAGGTTGGATCAGCGTTCACACTTATATTACGTCACCCTAATCCCCGTTTCCTCCGTTTCGCCGAGGCGGTTGCGACAAGCCGGCCCTGTGTGTTCAAAAGCAATTATTTGTCAACTTAAGACTACCGTGGACAAGAGGGGGTGGGACTTCTGTCATTCATTTTGCACCTCCTACCTAATCGGTCACACGCATATTTAAGTACATAGTTGCATATCGGTTATTGTTAATGGTACTGAGGAGACAATACGAAATGCATGCATCTACCAGTTTTCGTCTTCTTACCGTGCTTTTCAAATTTCTGAAGGGAATTGATTGCTTTAAATTTCTCAAACGACGAATTCCCGCTGAAACTATCAATATTTATCTATCAGAAATATGTTCTTCCTGAGACGATGGCGTCGCAGTTCATACCTAAGCTTGGGCGCGGAACGAGACAAAGGCTAATCTCTGACAACACTGATGCCCCAATAGATATGAACCATGTCAAACAGTATAAATGAAATAGTCTAAATACTATGACATACCACAGCGGAACTCCGTAAATGCCAGCGATTTATTTTGTCTCTCGGATCCCAGTGAGACAAGGTTCTGTTCAGGGTCCTCGGCTGAACTCGACGCGGTATCTGTAAGGTGCTCTATATCGGTGGTGTCGATGTCTGTGGACCCGACCGAATGAGCCATGAACTGCCTCAACCAGTCTCGACCACGTTCGCGAGCCAGGCGCCATTGCATCCAAGCGAGTAGATCCATAGCAGAGCCAAAAGTGAACAAGATGAGGCCAAAGAGTAGCAGAGAGCTGAGATTGTCCACCGGTTAACATAAAAGAACCAGAGAAATGAAACCGAAGGGAAAAGACAGAAAAAAAGTTAGGGACCGGAGAAGTACTTTAAAATTAGTAGAAAAGTTGTAAAGCGCATGACAAAATCCGGATGCACATACCGGATTCACTATATAAATTTCGGTACAAAATTACATGAGGATCCGTGTTTCGAGTTTCAATAAATCCAATCATCGCGGTTAGTTGGGAAGATAAAAGTTGAAAGATGACCGCGAAACTGTAGAGAAATACGCATGCAAACAACAAAGGAAGCGGGTCCGATGAAACGACCGGTTACGAAATCCGATGAACCGAATGCAAGAGAGGTATTTAACCTGCAACTTCATAGTGCTGCATAAGGTTTTTGGCCCAGTATGGTGGTGATTCGAAGAGTACATACTCATTAGCGAAATTCATTCGATTAGGTCCATAAGTCCATGTTTCACGTGTCAGCATTGTTGCGTAAGCCTGCAAATATGGAACAAGTGTTGGGCTTCCAACAGAATGTGTTCCTTACAAAATAGGATTGATAGCGACGTGTGGTTCCGTTGTTAATGCTATCTCCGATTAGTTGTTCACCGTTCGGCACTGCTCCGTGGGTAAAATTGCATTAGCCTGGTGAGATACGGTCTCATTTGTCACAAAGACCAATCGCATTTCATTATGCGAACTTCGGCTAATCGTTCATTGACGGCTTAAGCCGCGATAGTGAGGTCAAACACTTGCGTCACGGAGATGATAGCTGAATGGTGACGTTCAGTTGAACCTTCCGAAGTTTCAGCTGGAAATTCACCCGTCATGGGTTCGGAAAGCCGCATTCTCAAATTGACTTGACAAGCTACTAGCGGTCATGGATTTGAGCCCCCAGCAGTGGAACGAGGGAATGCGCATCACTGACCAGCTTCAATAGGGCGAAACGATGGTCTGATGCTTTTCCGGATTAGTAGGAGACCTTCGCGGCTTGTAATCTAATTGCGATGAACCAAATAAAACATACTAAATCCGTCTGCTCATGAGTAACTAAACTAACAATTGACTGCGCTACGGTCTCATTCAACTAAACGCAGTTTCCTGGGTAAGAGGGTGGCAGGTATACGAAGCGACATTTCCGAATCAATGTAGGTGGCAAAAGTGCAAATGTGGCCTGGTGCGACACCACGGGAGCTGTTGCATAATACCCTAAGGCAACTGCCAACATTATGCACTCGGTGTCTCAGCAAGAACCGTTACCGATCAACAACTAATTGCCTAATCGTTTCAAAGCGCAGGGACGACATCTCCAATCCAGATGGCGACAAGTACGCAATGAGGTTTTACACACCTTGTTGTTAAATGAAAGCTGACATTCCGCTTTCTCCCTGTGTGTAGAAAGCAGTAGGTAACTACAAGGAGTTAACGGAGCTGAGAAACCTTCATCTGGACAAATTCGACTACCAGAGGAGGTGCCGTAAAGTAAGTAAAGATAATTAGTGGGAGTCTCATTAGATTGAGCAGTATGTCTGCTTGTCCCGACTTCAGCAAGTTGCAGCTTAAAGTTGTAGGGCACATAGCAGAAACTGCAGTGCAAAGGAGCTGGGTGTAACTCTAAGCGCTTCCTTCAACATACAGATAGCTTACCAAGCTGTCACCAGGTAGCAGTTAAACCCCAAAGGTCATAGAATAGTGCAGTCCAACCAACCACCAACAAATAGCCACAGTTCTACAGCAATAACGGAATGGCGTCATTTACAGTATGACAAGTCCAGACAGGGAAGCGTTTAGTGTGACGATAAAGATGGCCACGCAAATGGCAGCACAAAGAAAAGTTAGGTTGCCATCATGACATGCATGCGTTTTTGTCTAGAAACCAATATTCTAACAAAAGACATCAGGTTTCATCAGAGAACAATGCGGAAACAATAAAAGATGTACAAAAATGTACATTATGCAGCTGATGAGAAAGTGAGACGCCGACAGACGATCGTAAATAGCGATATTAAGAGGGAAGAGTTAAGTTCGCCGTGTTATGCTAGGACGCGAGGTGAACAGCTTACATAGCGATCCAAAACCAGGTATCCTTGGGTAATCCGGCTGGACTACTATGGCAGAAGCTGCTCGATTTGTCCACTGCGACATCAGACAAGGATGCTGTTTAATTACAGTGGATCAAAATCAGGTGCATTAACAAACTTGCGTCAATCAATGCGCTCAATTGTTGGATACTGCAAGTTCGGGGTACGCAGAGTCCAATATTCACCCCAGTCACCTGACGAAAAATTAGTAACGGGGTCGGAAATGCCTCAAGTAGTGTACCGGTTTGTCAAAAGCCTCTTTTCCAGTAGGAATGATCAATAAAGAGCAATACAGGGGATTTATTACATGCGATCCGGGATAGGTTTTAGTAGATATGCTTAGGCAAAGGTCGAAACTTCCAGGCCAATGTAAAGCACCCCCGGAAATGCCAGGGGGCGGTTTCCCAGATGCGTCCAACCCTGAAACAAAGTAGTCATAAATTAAGACCAGTTTACAAGCGAAAGACCCTGGTTTTCTGGCCAGAATATCATTCAGAATGTTTCTGATGTCCAAGTAGCATTCTGTATCATTAGCCAAAAATTGGTTGTTCAAAAATTCGAGCAGATTCGCATTGGGAGTGTAAATTAGGGCTGGTGTCAAAAGGCGAGTCTCTTCCGGAGTAACTGCAAGGGTGGGCCGCCATTGGTCGGTGAAGTGGAGAAGAGCAGACACGCTTCTTTGGAATGAATACATGGGATGTTCTGAAGAAACGGTAAACATTTGAAGGCAAAGACTGATATAGAAAAATACAGGCGTCGCATGCATTATTCTTTGGTGCAGCATCGAAACCAAACACAAAGAGGAGTGTTGCTACGCACCGGCATAAACCTGAAAGAAGGCAAATGCGAAAATGTAAATCCGATTACAATAAGCGCATCCATTAACGGGGCCAGATGGCAAGAAAACGTAAACAGTAAACAGAGTGGCTTGGTGAGTGACGTGTTAACCTGATTTAGCGCAGTGTGGCTCAACTAGTCAAATATCCCAGGCGCCAAAATGAGATGGATTCAAGTGTAATGACTCGCGCAACAACGGTCTTAAAAACATGGAAAAACGAAGACGGGTAGAAAAATGCATGGACGAGATTCCATGGGAAATAAGTGAATCAAAAAGCGGATTGGTTAAAAGGAAATATCAAATAATGCAGACAATAAATCGATTACAATTTCCTTGTTAGTTACTCAGATCATTGTTGAAGCAAATGTACCGGGGTCGTAAACAGAGAAAGCTTCCAAGTCGGCAGAATTAAGTAAATGGACATCACAAATGACATGTTACAAAGGACATCAGCCCATTATGAATGTCTGCTATAGTTCTGTAAGCAGCCAGGTGGAAAACTTCGAGCGCACACTCAAAATGGCTATCGGCAAAACCAGCTAAATACAAAAAACGGTGCCGATAAAACAATGAAGAGCGACGCGTGATTCTTTCCTTGTACTTTGTACCATAAAAATGGGAAGCGCTAATGAAGGATTAGGTGAAAAGTCAAGAGTTTTCACGATCACCAAATAATAACCGGAAATGGACGGTTGGCTCAATTGTTGTGGATGATGCGTCGCTAATAGTAGCAAAACCATTGAATACCGATATGGCCCAAGCGACATTTAAATGTCGCAGTATCTTAAGGAAGGGATGTGTCAGTAAATCAATCAAAAATGTAATGTATAAATTTGTAGTGTGATCTGTTATGATATGTGTACTAGGAACATGGTCAGTGAACGCAGGAGGAATTAACCGACCGGTTGTCCGTAAACCATGGTATCTGTCAGGTTGTGTGATTTGTGGGCGGCGTCAAGAATGCAGCTGGATCTAGGGGAGTTTGATGCATGGACCATCACAGATTAAGTGAACCTAATGGATAGACTACTGTGGTTTGACTGACAACAGGCTAAAGACTTCAAATAAGCTTGTTGTAGCATGTTGGTTGGTTCTTCTCTGTCTACTCTGTTGGTTAAATAAATTTCTGAGATGATTCAAGGCTTCTAGTGTGCATCGTATTCTATAGCAAATCCAGTGTTGATATAAGTGGCAGATTGTACTAGACGCTAGTTCTAGCGTTTGATTAGCATGTATGTAATCTCAACAGCCAAGCAACTAGACATAGAGCCAATAAAGCCATAGAGATTAGCAGATAAGGGGAAATCACTGCGTCATAATCATCGTGGCATGGTAGTTGAAGGTGAGCAACACACTTCAGCTAATATGCCGCAGGAAGAATAGAACATTTTGACAAAAAAGTAGAACGTAACATTTTTAGTTTGTTTTTCACACGCAGAGTTTGCTCTTTTTTGTCATTTTCAATGTTTGTAGTATTAAACATGTGAATCAATACAATACAGTACACAATTCTTCTCCTGATCCCGGTTGCGGACCATGTCTTCAAGAGTGCTAAGCCAGTGGCACTCCTCATCTTTGGGTCCCCATCCTGGAAAACGTACGGATCCAACACCGGCTAGACACGACGTCAGCGATTTCATGTGCTGCCGCCAAGTGGAAGGCTGACCACCACGCGGTCGCTTCCAGCCACGTCCTTGACGAGCGAATAGAGCGCGACGCGGTAGACGCTCAGGTGCCATGCGTAAGACGTGACCGAGCCATCTCAACTGGCGCAACAAAACCAGTTTGTTGAAGGGGATACTCGCATTCCCCAAGATGCGACGTCGAACGTCATTACTAGCAACTCGATGTTGCCACCAAACACGAGCGATCCTCTTTAAGCAACCGTTATCGAACGGAGAAAGACGACGCATGTCTTCCACGCGAATCGGCCAGGACTCACTCCCGTACAACAATACTGAGCGAACGGATGCGCTGTAAACGCGGCCCATTAGCGAAAATGAGACGTCGCAACGACGCCACAAGTGCCTCAGATTGACAAATGCTGATCGAGCTTTAGCGATACGAAGAGGAACTTCTTTGTTGATAGTGCCGTCAGCAGAAACACAGCTCCCAAGATAGACGAAACTATCTACCTGTTCAAGTTGTGCACCTTCGAGAGTGAGCACGGGAGCAGGTGAAAACCAATCCTTGAGCAGTAGTTAACACTTCGATGGGGCGAAGCTCATGCCATACTTAGATGCTTCAACCGCCAAACGATCCAGAATGAGTTGCATACCCTGAGGATCGTCACCAAGTAAGGCGATATCATCAGCATAATCTAAGTCGGTCGCGCGCTCACGCGTTAGAAGCTCTAGGCCAAAATGTTGGAAACTTTCTAGAGCATTCGACAGTACGTCTTCGATTGCGAAGTTGAAGAGGAATGGGGACATAGCTCCGCCCTGTCGCCCACCGCTATTGACAGCGAATTGCGACGAAAGCTTGCCACAGACCCTCACTCTGCCGATGTATGAAGGTAAAGTGCTCTTAAGATGGCGGTATATTTCGCTAGCACCCCCATCTTTAGCAAGTAAGGCCATAAAGCAGGTCTATCAACGGAGTCAAAAGCGGCACGTATGTCTAGGAATGCAACAAGTGGGGGCCTGTGATAAATGTGGCAATGTTCGAGGAGCTGGCGGAGCGTGAAGACTTGATCCACGCATCCGCGGCCAGGACGAAAACCAGCTTGTTCTTCAAGGTAGGATGATTCACGTACTGGGGATAGTCTGCGAAGCAGAACGGATGCCAATAGCTTAGAGGCAACCAAAATAAGACTAATCCCGCGATGATTTGCACATGAAGTGCGAGCGCCTTTCTTGAAAATCGGGACAATAACTGATTCGCCCCCAGAGAAAGGCACTTTCTCTTCATGACAAATTTTTGCCAACAGCGCGGTCAGCTGGTTAATGATCGTCACATCGCCGTACCTGAATAGTTCCGGAGGAAGTCCGTCTAAGCCGGCAGCCTTGAAGCGCTTCAAGCGTCGAACCTCGAGGCAGACTTCCGCTTCGCTGGGTGGATTCAGTGGGACGAGCCAGGGTGGACAACAAGGTGTACTGCATGTACTGATGGATGGTGGGGGCTAGTTGAACTGCGAGTGAAAGTGCTCGGCCCAGCGGTCCATACGCCTCTGTTGATTGGTGATCGGAGACTCATCCATCTCACAAATGACCTCACTGACACCAGGCTTCCTGAGGCCAGTGGACCGAATGAGTTGAAAAAGCCTGTGTGTTGCCAGAGAGGGCAGCGGTCTCCATCTCTTAAGTACGTTCAGACCACCATGTCTCGCGATCCTTGGGTAGGCTTTGCTTGAGCAGCCGGTTGGCAGAACGGCGCCGCTCGTTGCAATCTGATTTCGCGGGGATATCTTTGCGGCGTTCGAACAGCTCCAGAGAACGAGCAGAGATCCAAGCCTTCAAGGAGCGTCGAGTTAGGCCGCAGCATGACTGTCCGGAAATGGTCATCACTTTCCGTATACAAGTCCAGTGTTGTTCCACTTCTTGCGGTGGATTGCAATTGAGTGCATATGCCAGTGAAGACTGATAGCTCACCTGGACAGAGGAATCAGTTAATCTGTTTACATCAATGTTGCGGTGCTTCGTGTTTCAGAATCCTCCAAAACACATACAGATTTGCGCGCAGACCAGAGCATGATCTGAGTGTTTGATTAGCAAGCCGATCGTAGATGAGTTGCATGCCCGACAGGATGTAGATCGTGTAAGCACCTTAGGAATGAGGTTGCTCTGTTTTCCAGCTAACCCTAGCGTTCATGCAGTATGGCCATTTGTGACTCGCTGAATATGAACGCATGTTGACTTGCTCCATGACACAGACTGAAGCGTAATGCATGATCTGTCATACTGCGTGGGGCCGATGAAATTGAACGGAGAGTACCAAAAGGTATGTTGGGCTTTTATCAATGCTGCTAGAGGAGACACAGTACGATACACGTGGAAACAGGATAGAAACTATGTGAACATCGCGGCTGACAGCCTTTAAGCGACGGATGGTTGAATGGACGGTAATAAACAAGTGTGAATGGCGATATAGTGAGTGTAGAACAAGGTGAAGAAAGCGGAAGTAAAGGAATGTCTTACGCATTCACGGATGGAGTTTAGAGATGCAACAGACATGCACATCGAGCATTCGACAAATTAACTTTAAGTTACATCCAGACTGAAATTTAGCGTGCTGGAACGGTTTGTCAAAAGTGAAAAACTGGGATGCGCTGAACGGTGCTGACTGGTACCATGAGCACCAGGTCAATACAAAGAATTTCTCTTCTAACGATTTCTCGATGCACTGGCCGTCGCGGAGGATAATCAAAGGCGCCCTATCTGTTGCATCGAGCAAGGTGAACAGGAGTAAGGGTGCATTTTATCCCTATCGCCCTGCTCCAACTTCAGTTTTATCCCCCCTGCTTACAACCTTCAAATTCTTGGCCCTCATGCATCTTGCTTCAATGGTCGCTTGTCATCTAGTTTCGGCTCAAACGGAATCGCAGAGCGACGCGAAGGACCAGTCGGACAAGTCCATGTTTAAGCAAGCGAACGACGTCAGTTCATCCGTTTCTCGTTGGAGCCCCCGATCCTCGCTAAGAATGGTGTCACACTTTGTTGCAGATTGGCTGTCAGCACTTGCCCGAACACTAGAGGCCCAATCGACCGATATCTGCTGTTTCTGGGAAACTCGCCTGCAAGATTAAAGTTCCGTGGTTAGTCTGCGATCGCCCACAAGCGACAATGACGACACTCTCTCATCGCGTTCGTCTGGAGATAGCGTAACTTCAAATACTGGTCAAGTTGATATGGGCATTGCTTTGGGTTTCCAAATTGAAGTTGTTCTGGTTGACTGCATCCCAATCAACAGCCGGATGTGGGCCGTCAGATGGCTGGCTTGTTCAAAGCTTCGAGGTCGCGCGCAGACAAACGGTCCTTGTTTGTCATTGCGGCC